CAGCGGAAAATTTTGCATCCCTCTAAATTCAAATTATTTAATATTGGTATAATAGTCAAAAATTTTTTGAACATAAAGCTACAAGAAGAAGATTTTATATAATTTATTATAAATAGATTTTAAACTATTCAGATATTGTCATGATGCAAGCAGTTCAATGATTAGCTATTAAATTTAGAAAAAATTCTTCGCAAATAACCGTAAAGCGGATTCTAAGTTAGGCTCAAAGATCTCTGTCAGAATAGCTCATAAACTTCAGAGTTCTCTCGTATCAAAGAAATAATGGCAAACTTTCGAAGCAAGAGCTAATACAAATCAACCAAAACAAGAGTTCTGGTTCATTTTTATACAGAAAGCAGGACAACTGCTCTGACATAATCCCTACAAGCTTTACAAGACTACATAATGTCATGTCATTGTGACATCAAAACATACGTAGATATTATAGTACGGCGCGTAGATTATACGACAATTATAGTACGGAAAATTGCGTGTAGATATTGATATACACACGCGTATTTATAATAGCTTACGAATACTCTACGTACATTAATAACTTAGAAGTAGGAACAGGCAAGCGGTCGATTAATTTCAAGAAAGCCAGAGAAGGTCAAAGAAATGTTCGACTATAGGCTGATGCATTACCCGTAGTCAATGCTATTCGTTCATAAAGGCCTGGAAATGAGAGTTGAAATCACCGAACAATTGAAGGTTCAACGGTCGAAGGTGTCAACTCCTGGCGTTCAAAGTAAGGTCTAACGTAGTGGGTTGTGAACTAAAGTTAAACCTTTGATTTAAAGACGGCCGATTTAAACAGCTATCCCCGACGACAAATCTCATGGAATTAGTTATCACTGATCACATCTTTCAACTTGCTATCCCGTAGCTGACAATCTGCATCTAAGGCTATAAATAATAAGTCAATGCATAAGGTAATTGACGTGCCGAATGAGAACCAACTTCTTTGGAAGGAGTTCATCAACTTTAAAAAAAAAATTATTACTCAAGTGCCCATAACCCATAAAACTGTCCTCGATGTCCACCCCAGCAGCAACAATAACAGCAGTGATAGTAAACAACGTAGCAGCAGCATTAACAACGTCAATAGCAACGGCCACAACAACATAGCAACCACAATAATTAACAGCAGCAGCATTGCTACATCAATAGCAGCAGCATTGCTGCATCAACAATAGCAGCGGCATTGCTACATCAACAATAGCAGCGGCATTGCTAGATCAACAATAACAGCAGCATTGCTACATCAACAATAGTAGCAACAACAGTGTCGGCAACAACAACAGCAATAAGTAGATATTGATGATTACTTGGAAGAACGCAGCACTTAGCAGTAGAAATTGACCAGAGTTGTAAAGTATAAATGGTGCTGAGCGGGAAAAGTAGTTGAGGCGTAGAGGAGTAGATCATTGTAGAGTAGAGAAGGCGACTCAGCGTTAGAGAGTAGATCCTTAGGGTAGAGTAGAGACGATGACTCAGCGTTAGAGAGTAGATCCTTAGGGTAGAATAGAGACGATGACTCAGTGTTAGGGAGTAGATCTTTAGGGTAGAGTAGAGAAGATAACTCAGCGTAAGGGAGTAGATCTTTAGGGTAGAGTAGAGAAGGCGACTCATCGTTAGAGAGTAGATCCTTAGGGTAAAGTAGAGACGATGACTCAGCGTTAGGGAGTAGATCTTTTGGGTAGAGTAAAGAAGATGACTCAGCGTTAGGGAGTAGATCTTTAGGGTAGAGTAGAGAAGATAACTCAGCGTTAGGGAGTAGATCTTTAGGGTAGAGTAGAGAAGGCGATTCATCGTTAGAGAGTAGATCCTTAGGGTAAAGTAGAGACGATGACTCAGCGTTAGGGAGTAGATCATTAGGGTAGAGTAGAGAAGGCGACTCGGCGTTAGAGAGTAGATCCTTAGGGTAGAGTAGAGACGATGACTCAGTGTTAGGGAGTAGATCTTTAGGGTAGAGTAGAGATGATGACTCAGCGTTAGCGAGTAGATCCTTATGGTGACAGCGTTAAGGGTAGATCATTAGGTAGAGTTAAGTAGCTGACTCAAGTCAAAAGAAGATTCGAAGCTAGAAGTTGGAAGGCTGTATATTTGAAGGCTAGATGCTTAGGATAAGAAGTAGTTTAGAAAATAAAACGTGAAATTTAGTCCAGACATCGTGAAAATAGCTGCGTAGCTTCTTAGAAGTTCAGTAGAGAAGCAGTCCAGTAGAGAAGCAGTTCAGTAGAGAAGCAGTTCAGTAGAGAAGCAGTTCAGTAGAGAAGCAGTTCAGTAGAAGTTGAGGTATTCAAGCGACAGATCCTCTTCCTCTTCATAGCTCACGCCGGCGCCTATTGACCATACAAACGATGCCGATTGTTTAATAAATGATTTTACAGCATTTTACATTAAATATCTTATTTTCATGATCTTTTACAATCCAAGTTCCTCAGAAGGCCTATCAATTGCACCAAAGAAATTTGACCGCAAGTCAATCCGTGTTATGAAAAATCATCAATTTTTTGACATTTAAGCTCATACGGTGACATAGGCTTTATAATTTTGAATTCAAACACCAATTTGAGTCACATTAAAGTAATGATATAATTAAACCTGAGCCCACTCTGACCCAAAATAACAAGTTACTATCTTAAATTGCATCACATAATCAAATAATGTTTCTTCTGGTAAAATAAAAAAATGCAATTGGCCTGATGATTGTCAAACGAGAAGCCAAACACACTTCTTTTGAGCTAAAGTTCAAATGAACCTTTTTTTGAAGATAATTAATGCATGTAAATTGCCTAAATCATCACCCAAACAGCTATCCATTTACTGTAACAAGTTGACTAATGGCCCATTTCACACCTACACAAACAAAGTTCGATGTGTTTGCATAGTTCAATGCACTTGCATAATTTAAAAATAATGAGTTTTCATAATTTTAAACCCACATTGTAGTGATAAGTAAAATTTTTTGCCAGCCACGCGAGAAGTCCAGAAATAAAAAACCGAAATAAATCATTACAGCAGAAATTATCGGAAGAAATCTTCAAAAAATCACGAAAAAATCATGACCCTTAAGAACTTTTAGCGAAACAATCCACTGCGTTAGAAAATTCAGTTTTGGGCTACCAAATCCGATATAGTGTATTTTTAATGCTATGATAAATCCACGCTGCAAATGAAAAGGATTTTGCCGCCTGCCAACGTTGAATTCCTGTTTAGCATTTTTGTGTAGTATTATAATGGTAGCTCCCAAGAAGGGGCGAGCATGATTCAAGCAATTTAAAATATAACCTTGAATATAGAAAATACCAAATAATAAGCTTAAAATATAAAATTTGTATTTTTATTTTTGAACTAAATGATTATTTTAAACAGTCATCATCCCGAGTTAACTATAGAGACAAAATGTAACTAATCTATCATAGATAAAGTGAGACATGTGAGATGTGCTCGGCAAAAACGAGTTCTGGCAACGAAACTCGACGACGATAATAATAATAAAACCTCGAAGCGCCCAATGAATATTGCCAAGTTCTTGGTGAACAGCGGTGTTCTTAGCCGTCAGTCATACGTGCGGCTAGGGCACGTGAATTTTACGTGGACAAGTAAATTTTACAAAAGCACATGCATTCAATGTAGCTTAAACAAGGTAAGTGCCTTTCGTTGTATAAACTTTTCTACAATTCCTCCATAGATCAAAATTGGTGCCTTTATCCAGCATTTATTCATATACTCCGTGGCCATGCAATCTCCTGCACACAAATGATTAATGTTCATCAAAAATTACCTAAGATATGAGTATCCTTAGTCGATATATATGATAACCTTAATAATAACTAATTATACAAGTGTGTCCGATAAGCAAGCTTTTCAACAAATATCAATAACTAACGACATGACATATCATACATGAAAATCATGAGTATACTTCCCTGCATTTGCATCCTGCCAACAACCATGCCGAGTCCATATGAAACAAGACGAGAAAATGCGTGTAGAAAGCACAATGGAAAAATGGCACGGAAGCAAGAAATCGCGTAAAAACAACCGCTCACAACACCAACAACTGGACAAATCGAACCAGCTAAAAAAATGTATGATGTAAGCGAGCACAAAACAAAGTAAAGAAGCCTTCAAAGAGTTATTATCAAGAAAAATTCGCTAAATCAGCTTACTAATAGCCGAACTCGGTGAATATTCAACACCACTCTAAAACTTGAGCTCCTGTTCATTAATTGAACAGGATGCTCTATTAATGTTTACAAATTGAACACCGTGGTCACAATCACAACGACGAACTGTGAACGCGTTCGCGATTATGTCTTAAGGTCTCACACAACGCCAACGCTCATTCAATTTTATGATAACACACTAATATTTCTATGAAGCATCACAGCATAGTTTTTTGTCTCGGATCGAACTATGACTATTTCAATAACTCAGTCATGATTTTTTTCAAAATCCACAAAACACAAAATCCATGCTTGAAAATTAGGGCCCTTCGGCGACCTCGTCTCTCTTAGAACTGAGGGAAACTCAGGTCCAAGTTCTGGTCCAGATGCAGAACACGAGTATAACTGCCGGCGAAGTTCTAGAGGCATAGTGAAGATTTGAAAAAAGCATTCGTAACGAATTAGATCTTGAAAACTCACTCATAAGTAAATGGTGGGCAAGGCATCGCGTGATGAAAGTTAAACATGCAAATCATCTTCGATTGATGGGAAAAAACTCATTGAAGCAGCACAAGTTGCGGAATAGGAATCAATCAATCAGGATGGAAGAGGAAGAGATTCCTTGAGGAAATTGTGGACAAGAGCACTTCAGGGAAATGCGGAAGGCAAATCGCCCCTAAGGTAAATATGTAACGGGAAAAAGAGACCTTGAGGTAAGCATGGAATGGAAGGGGGAAAAAGAGCCCTTGAGGGGAATAATGGGGCCTTGCCACGGTCAGGGAAGGAGGCTTGTTGTGGCCTTTCCGCCCCTTTCCCTGGACTTACCAACAATTGCCGAAGAGGAATGGCCGCTACTTGATCTCCTCTCGGACTTGTAAGTGTCGGACTCGCGCATGGTGTTGCTGCGGCCGCCAGGCGTCGCCGGCGGTGTCGATGAAGAAGAAGATTGTTGTTGTGCGTTGGCCAAAGCCGAGGCTGATTGACATGTTACAGATGTAGATGTGGCAGCAGCGGCCGCAGCTGCAGCAACAGCTGCCATAATTCCACTGCCCGCCCCGCCAATGCTTCCGGATTTGTTAGCTCCCCCGCCGGCGGTCTTGAAGCCCGCCATGGCCCCGACAACCGACGCCGCCGTCGCCTTACGTTTGTCCTCGCCCCCGACGGGAGGAGTGGCCACGGACGAAGAAGGAGATCCTGTGGCACCGCTTATATGGACACAGCTCTCAAGGGCACAGCCTAATGATGCTACGCTATCATCACTAACACCTAATGATGCACTGCACTTGCCGGTACTACTCACAGCTGTACCGGCATCACAGGTAACACTCACATTTGTACCCTTCAATTGGGTAGCGATATCAGAAGCGACACTCACTGGGGCAGAGCCCAAATTGGCACTATCCATTTGGTTGCAAATTTCGGAATCACAATTTGGAGCGTCACCACCCTCTTTTGGACCATTTACTGGGCCATCGCTCTCTTGATGAGTGTTCATAGGGGCAATATCTTCAGCAACACAATTTGAAAACGCACAGCCTTGTTGTTGTTGTTGTTCCAAACGTGCTAAGGAGACGATCACGCTACAGAACACGAATAAACCCCATACCACTACCACAAAACTTGGCAACATCAGCTACAATATTCATCAATAATATCCGTATACCCTACTGTCGTTTCTATTACTATGTAATAAAACTTATTACAAAATTACTGTTAGTAGTACAAGAACGTTCATGAATAAGATACTCGTTTAAATCCCTACATATGTAGCGGTACTTATTTACCTGATAATTGAGCAATCGAAGTGATCGCGGATGAAACGACATTTTCATCATTCCGGACAATGAGTTGAATACAATGAGCCAAGTACACACCACGTTTGTGTAATAGTAACAAACAATCACCAGTACACATTCAATGCAGAACTGCTCAGCACTACAAATGCGTCAACTACTCAAAAAATTCGTCACTGAATTCAGATTAACGGAGAATTCACATTAATATTCGTTTCCTGTACACGGCTGATTCAGGTTCGCATGAGCACGACTGATCGAGATTAACGGATGTTCAGATTCATCAACACAGAAACCGTCAACAGAACATAATTATTCAACAGATTATAATCTTTAAACAAAACAGAATCATTCAACAAAACAGAATCATTCAACAAAACAGAATCATTCAACAAAACAGAATCATTCAACAGATCAGAATTATTCAACGGAACAGCAGAATCACTCAACAGAAGAGAATTATTTAAAAGAATAAAATTATTCAACAGAACATAATCATTCAGCAAAACATTATAATTGTTCAACATAGCATAATTATTCAACTGAGCGTTATGATCATTAAACAGAACAAAATCGTCACATATTATCTTCATATTTCTTATGAAAACACAAACGGGTTTCGAGCGAGTTGACATCGACGAGTTGACATCATCGACGATGATGTGACATTTCCAACAGACACTTCAGCGTGATACCTGAATGTGTTCAACGCGAATGAGCATGGATACGTGAGATTCTTACAGATCAGAACCACGGAGGGATGAAGTTCTTACAGGTCAGAACCACCAATGTATGAAGTTCTTACAAGCCAGAACCACCGAATATCGAAGTAAACCTTCTACCACCGTATGTCACTCTCCAGGAACATAACTTTTAACATAAATTGTTCGTAAACTTTTTGAGTGTAGCAACCTGAGGACGTTTGTACGCAACAGAGAACATTTTAAAGTTGTCGTACGTGTCGCTCACGTCATTTTGCGCTCACTAGCAACGTATCCTTTTTTGGTATGCTTGTGTGATGTGACGATATTGCTCCGGTTACTCGTGCCAGGCGGTAGAGGGCTAAGGCCGGAAATCTCGCAATAACAGCAACCATGTACGAAGATTTGAAACTAATATCAACTCTGCACATCTTTAAATCGACCTTAACTCGACGTTTACACTGGAAATACCGCGACCTAAAACTGACAAAAATGATAAAGTAATAAATTTTAAAATATTAAATTAATTAATAAGAGGACGAAAAACCACCACCAGTGTTAGACGCCAAAGAGCAACTGTCCTGAGTATGCGCAGCTGCCAACTTCACACATGCATTTATAAACTTGCTCTCTATAAATAAAGAACATCTGCGTCAGAGGGTACCATGCACTCAGAGAAATTAGTCAGACTTTGTCTATAAAGCAATCCACATTTTTTTCCCTCGTCTGGGTCATCCTGATTCAGAATAGCCCGGTAAAAAAGACGTAGCAGTGCAACGTTCGCTCTATTTGCACTGTAACTGTACACGGTTAGTCCGATCAGTCCAAATAGACCCTATTTGGAGACTATGACCCATTAATTTTTCTCAGTGTGATATTAATCCAGCATTCGATTTCGTCACGTTTGTCACCTCAACATAATCCCAAGCACCAAGAAATATCATGAATTGTGCAAGTACATGCATATGGATTATTAACACATCATCTCAATTAACTATTTTACCTTTACACTTCGCATCCAACCATTTGGAGGTTAAACAATCAACACTAAGGGTTACCAACCCACAAATAAACATCGATGGGGCAGGGTGAACATCCATAACATCATAATAAGCAACATCAGCAGCCAAACCACAGTTGGCAACAAGACACTAATCTTTTATTTAGCTGTTTATGCATAGAATACATGGGTGAGTTAAATATACATTACATATACGGTAAATTTAGAGCTTTTTACGAGTATATGAGAACTTAAAATCATTCAATATAAATCAATCGCAGTCAGGAGCATCCGAGCACTATTAAACTGACTATAATCATGCCTATAATCATGACGAGCTGAAGTCTCTGCAAGCATTCAAAGATTATTCCAGCAATCACTGCGTAGAAGATACGGTTTTAAAAAATCACAATCATACCGTACTATCAATCATTGCCTATCATCAGGTAAAAAATCAAGCGCAAATACAATAGAAATAACTTTCCATCTGCAAAAGTTGCTTCGTTTTGATTGCGCAAATCGAGCTAATTCAGCCGAAGTATATTAATAACACGATCATGACTGACGGTCTTGAACAGCGATACTTCGATGTCGATCACGACTGAAGACGATCAGAGCATCCCAGTTTGTATATAAATCGATGGCAACTTTGTAAGTAAAGCCAACAGAAGCGCTAAGGCTTATCAGGAAGCCAGTTCACCGTAAATGAATCCACTCGAGAAGATGAAACTTGCAACGAGAATACTCAGTGTTTCGCCTTACGACTGACTTCGTTATAATTATCAAGTTCCGACCATTACTATCAAGTGCAGATGATTAAATCAAGTATCGATGATTAATATCACTATTGATTATTAATATCATGTGTAGGTGATTGATATCATGTTTTAATATAAAATATAATGATTTAGGTCATGTATAGATGATTAATATCAGCATAGATGATTAATCTCATTAATCTCAAGTATCGAGAGTCACTCGATTCAAACTGTTAATTATCAGTAGCGTCAAGACTTCCAAGCGATGATAACGAAATCACAATGATGAATATTACAATGAATATTATTTTCACTGAATTGACTAGATAGTATTGTTCGTATGTGATGTATGTGAATGTCTTCGTCCCATTTCAGGACACTATGAGTGACATTGAAATTATGACGTCAGAGTCATGATTCGTTCGGTTGCTTTCCATGATTTAAATGAGTATCTGAATAATGAGAATAAATTAATTCATGTTAATGAATTTTGTAAAACAATCAGTTTCACGAAGCCAAAGGACGTTCATAAATATGAAATTAAATGCCACATACACGTGCTTCATGTTAGTGCATTGGAGTCCTGATGCAAGTCACACCTGTTGCCTTCATTGAACAAATCAAGTGTTGCATAAAATGATTTCAAGAAAAAAAGTATACTTCAGCGGGAAAAAAATATCGGTGCAAAAATAGTGAAATTTCATCAAAATAATCCTGAGATGCAAGTGTAAGGAAAGTCTCACTTCAAAATCAACTTTAAAATGCAAATGTCATAATATCGATGAAACAATGCAAGTGAGCAAAAACGCAAAGAGGAAGTGAAAGAGAAATCGTCAAAAGTTATATCGGAAAATCACAGAGAAGTGAAATCTTACAGTTAACCGTAGGCGAGTGCAAGGAAGAGAGGTGTAGTGATGAGGCATGATATACAGGGACCATACCTTCCAAGAAATAGAGGTGTAGAAATGGAGTGTGATATATAAACGAGCCATACCTTCTAAGTCTCTGGCGATAACAGTAGAGCTCCTGTCCACTTGAGTCTTGCATTTGTCTGAGGGGAGTGCGAGTAATACGTTACCCTCACACTGTTACCAGTCCCCTCATCACACTTTTACCAGTCCCCTCATCACACTGTTATCAGTCCCCTCATCACACTGTTATCAGTCCCCTCATTACACTGCTACAAGTCCCCTCAGTAATTTGTTACCTGACACTTAACTAGGGAAATTCCCTATCATAGAGTAATTATTCTCCTTACGGTGTTACCATACCCTCGCTACGTTCACATTACCGTCATAGAGTTAACGTTACCCTCACACTGCAAGTTACTCTTAAGTGTTAACCTGTATTTATACGTTACCGTATAATTTGACGTTCCTCTCATAACGTTATAACGTTAGGCGTTATTACACCCGTATGCAGCATTATTAAATTACTGTATATTTATATTATAGCATAGGTACTTTTATTCTATTGCTGAATGAACGCCTCGACTTTACCATACGAAAAATGGTAATGTTTTCTCGCATCTTCTTATCAACGAATGTTGCCAGATGACCAGTGGTCTTTCAGTATTATTATCTTTACGATCGTTTCGTGAAATCGTTTTGTTGAGCCTAATGTTAAAAGTTCCGCATGAATTTTAATACTAATTTTCTTTTGATTTTTCGAGAACTATGTTTTTTTCTGGAACAATAACATTTTTCACCAACAAAAACACAAACGATAACAAAACCAGATACACTTACATGGTCAGACATCACATCTACGTCACCACACAAACATTAACTAAGGAAACATAATGAAATAACTAAAAGATGTAACGTGCTGATACAGAGATAACGATTTCAAATAATGTTGATCGAGAGACAGTGATGGTCTTTGGATTAAACTATATTACATGTGATTAACGCATTTATTCGAAAAGCAGGCTTTAAATTTCTGTTCTGAATTTATTACAATACAAGGAAAAATATATAAACCTAATAACGATACTAGGAAATTAATCAGTTAAATCAGTTGAATGTATTTCAAAAAGCGTTATTTACACCTACAAAAACAGAGCTAACGTAACAAACAACAAACTCTTTATCAATCGTGAAAAAAACATTGATAAAAACTATTAGTGGAAAATTAAATTTGCATGTACGGTGAGGTTGAACATTTGCTGGTAGGGTGAGATTGAACGTTAGCATGTAGGTTGTGATTAAACGTTCGCATTTAAGGCGATTTCAAACGTTTGCATATAGAGCGAGATTAAACGTATACACATCGGGCGAGATTAAACGCTTAAAGAAATATACTGAGGTACTGACGACGTTCGATCAGTTTTTTAGCACTGGTGAGAACATGAGCTTTAAGCATGACTTTCTCGTACAAAAAGAATTTTGTAACGCAAAATTCTAATGTACAACAAACCTTATAAAAAGACCTGACAATATTAGGTTCTTCGACAAAAAGGACGACATTTGGAAATTTGTCAGTTTCTACGAGCCAGAAGAAGAGCAAGGCTGGGACACGCAAAGCTAAAGTCTTCACATATTATAACGAACAACAAAGTTCAATCAGTGAGGGAAAATGAAAGAAATATTGATAAAAATCAATTGAAATGGAAGTATCATAACGACATCGAATACTGTATTGTTACCACATTTATTGAATGGTACAATATGAAGAAATATTAGAGTGACATCAAATACTGTAATGTTGCCACATTTATTGAATGATACAATATGAAGAAATATTAGAGTGACATCAAATACTGTAATGTTACCACATTCAGTTAATGGTACAATCTGGAGAAGAGCGAGCCACAGTTAAGGGCTATAAAAGTTTTATTTATGCACAAAGAACTATAAATTTAGAATAAAAACAATGACATATCGAGAACAAACAACTAAAGGGGAAAGGCTCTACTGACGAATATTGGAAAGCCAATCATGTCATAACTACTAGTTTGCAAACAGTGAAAAGATAAAGTTACAAATATTTTTTTTTTAAATAAAGCTCAACCGACGAATGTTTTAATTATTGAATGAAAATAGATTGAATGTTTATTGCAGTATAGTAATGGTTAATGAAATTTTCGGATGATTATTGGAGTATTGTGATGAACGTTAAATTTATATGTATAGTGGTATTCATGGGGGATGGTGGTTACTATTGTGGTACGGTTCGTTCCGTCAATGATGATAAAGTGACACAATTATGTTCGACGAAAAATTAAGAAAAGCTGCAACTTCATTTCAAAAAGAAAAGTCCCGGAAAAAAAAATCTTGAACTTAATTTCAAAAATTTTAATAAAGAATAAAGAATGTTACGTGTCAAGTTTTTAATTTTTGAGAAACTACTCAGTTCAATAACCCCCTGTTGTTCTTAATAGTGCCTTGAACTACAACAGAATATTTTGTGTGAATATGTTTACACATGCGGAATCGTCAATAAACGTAGCTCCAGACAAATAACTTTGAAACTATGTTGATTACGAGTTGAATTCGTTGAAACAACGTTTGAACTACTTCATTTCATCGTTGATGCCTGGTATGGTTGCCTGGTAAAATACAATGCATGAGTGGCAGGAACCGAACCAAATCGTCAGACCACCGAAAATTTTAAAAACAAACACTCGTTCTTCTTACAAATAACATGAAAAGATAATTAATTTGAATTGTGATCCATGAACTACCGATTTCAATGCAGAAATCCCCGAAACTCAGGAACTCAACAAAAATCTAACCCCGAGATTACGAAATTATTCGTCAAGGACTATGAGACACATCTTAGAAATACAAAAGAATAGTATAATTGGCAGTGAGAACGTCTAGATCACTACGTGATTATAACCTGAAGTGTGGCTTAAACGGTTTTAGGTCGACCATACTTAAGTTCCTGTAGGTAAGAACGGCCCATGCGAACAGTAAGAAAAAAATACTGCTTAACTAAGTAGAAAAAAGCTCGGCCTAAGTAGATGAAAAAATAATGCCCAACGAAAGAAGCGGAAAATTCACCGCCATTGAACGAATTTGAAATGTATTTCAATTATTTCCATCTAAATTGTCTACATTGCAACCCTGTGGTCTGAGCGTTCACAAAAGCAACAGCACCGCAATGGCCCCGACACTAAAATGCGTTGCTGTTCGAGTTCGAGAGAACTCAAAGCCCTAGCTCTGCTAAGACTTAAGATCCGCACTTGTAACAGAATTGTAACAATTGTTTTCTATGAGTGTGTTTATAAATGTATATGTCACGAACACAAGCGTCAGTGAAGTTTTCACAAGCGATGTTCTTAAAACTCAGGTACAGATACGGTGACTGCTCAATCAGTGAGATCAAAATATAGAGACAATGTAAAGCAGCATAAATTGTCGTATCAATTCTAACTGCGTTCATTGTCTGACATGAGAGCAATTTTCTGTGATGTCAGAAAATTACTGCATAACATAAGCTTACCCCAACCATAGCGAGTCTATCGCAGAGTCTCTATCATACCTTGATTTTTGTTAGGGTCAGTGCGATATATTTCAATAATTTGACCTATGTCATGGGTTTCAGAGCCACTGCTCTGAGTTTCGAAGTTACTGCTCTTGCTTTCAGAATTTAACGCTGGCACTTAGCAACCAAAATTTTGGGTCACCCACCACACAACAGCTCGGAGTATCGAAACGGTCAATCCCAAACTAGAAGAACTGAATTGCGAATTGTAAAATCTAGAACTTGGAGTTCCATTGATGCACCAGATATAATAATTGTGGCTAAGATTTAATTAGATTCATAAAACGGAGACGAATCGATAAGACTTACCCTTGGTGCTTGGTTTTGTGGAACCGTCGCAAAACCTTAACTTGAATAATAATAATAATAATAATAACCGACCATATAATTGAGAGCAAGTGGCTAATAAAACCACAGAAAATGCATGCAGCAAAACATGATCAACCACCAAAACTAGGAGAAGAATACTGCGAGTCCGTCAGGAATAAGGTTTTACAAAACCACTTAACAAGAAAACAGACAAATCTCTCGGAAAAAAGTACAAATATTTTTAGAAAAAAAAATTGGAGACATGAAGACGTGTAATTAAGAAACGTTCGACTGAAACATATCTGATACTCTTGAGATACATTACAGTTAATGCTGATGCCTGGGAATGTTAGTGAGGGTGCGAGAGGACGAAGCTGTTCTAAAATATTAATGCAGTAGAGAAAAAATTTCGTGATTAGATTCTGAAGCGGAAAAAATCATATGCTATAGGCAATTTGCAATGAGGATGTTCAGTAGGAGCGGGTATTTATGACTATGATTTTTCAGTACGTAATTAAAATAAAAGGTTCAAATTTAATTTTTACGCATAACTTTATTATTGTTCATTGAGGGCTGCGATTGTGTGACTCGTTTTATTGGGTGATTTTCTCATCAATTCAAAGAATAAATTACATTACTTCTTCATACAAGATTGATTAACGACGGTAACTAAAATATAAGCAAAAACACGCTCAATATAGAAAGAAATCGTGCACAGGAAGAGAACGATGACACGAATATTCGTAAAAATGGAATCGTGTTCCCGTAAAAGACACATCATGCTTGTGTTCGTGGGGAAAATTAATGAAATATAAATAAATGAATGTTTTCATTCACGAAGAAGGGTAAATAGCCTTCATGAATGCGATACAGGCAACAGGGCCTGTCTTATCTTATATTTGTAATGGATGAATAAGGCAAAATAATCATAGCAGAATTGAGCAAGATTTATAGAATATGAAAGCGTCAATAAATAACATTCGAAATTGTTTTATGAAAGTCAGTTGGAATGATATGATGATACTTGAGTAATTAATTGCTCGAAAGAGAAACGCAAAATTGTACACGAATGAGAAATAAAGTCATGTTTCATGAATAAATTGATTATTTATTCATTTGGAAATATGGAAAGATGAATGAATGTCTAAAAGCTTTGAGAAGGAATAATGCAAGTTATACAGACGGAGACACGAAGTAAAACCTGTGTGGATGTTATCAGCGATACGAGTGATATATAAGCATGAATAATCA